GGTTTTTCTTTTTAGAATATCGGATGTCTGTGGTGATGGATGGAAGCTTTTAGAGTTTTATAAAACATGGATTAATAATATAAAGACTAGATGTGTCTTGAATAGAATAAGCTAATTTTAAGAAATTTAAAATAATTTTGATTAGTTCAAAATCAGGTTCAAAATTTACTGACCCGGTTCAAATCTCATTGATCCAGTTCAAAACTTATTGATCCGGTTTAAAACTTATTGACCCGGTCAAAGATTATTGATCCGGTCAAAACTTTATTGATCCAGTGCAAAATTTATTGATCCAGTGAAAAACTTATTGACCTGGTTCAAAACTTATTGATCTGGTTCAAAACTTATTGATCTGGTTCAAAACTTATTGATCCGGTTCAAAACTTATTGACATAGTTCAAAACTGATTGATCCCATTTAAAACTTATTGATCTCATTCAAAACTTATTGATCCGGTTCAAAACTTGTTGATCCGGTTCAAAACTTGTTGATTCGGTTCAAAACTTGTTGATCCGGTTCAAACCTTGTTGATCCTGTTCACAACTCATTGATCTGGTTCGAATTAGATGAATTCGGTTCAAGACTTATTCATTTTACTTAATTCTTGATAAGTCAAGTTCAAATCTTTTTAATCGGGTTAAAAACTATTCAAACTCTGCATAATATTTCAAATTAATGCAAAACCATCCGAGTAACTTCAAAAGTAATCTGTATAACTTTATACAGACTCTGCCCTTTCCAGCATATAAACAAAATCCAATTTTTGATTTATTTATTTAAGATTCTCCATCTTTACCTTCATTCACTGTTGACTTAGACAATTGACATAAGTTATGAGTCTGCAGATTCTATCCAATGTATTTTAAATGCTTTTCCTTACGAGAAAAATGAAGATGAAGAAAAACCTCATTTTTCATTTGACATGCTATCATATAAGCATAAGATATATGTACATACAGTGGTACTGTAATTTTTAAACATTTTCTCTCCCTCAACAGTCAGCGTGACAAGTTGGCACATAATATATTACATCTCACTCTCTCATCGCATCCTTAACGACGTTAACTGCATGAATAAGGCAAAGCTTCTCATTATTTTCTGTTTTTTCTTTGGGGTGGTTTTTAAAGTCAAAAATGATTATTTACCGACTTCAATTTTTCAGATGAAATAAGGGAAGTTCCTTTATTATCGAATGTGTCAGAATTTATTATCGTATATCCCATGAAATTTGTTAATAATGAATAATGGGGTCTGTTTTCATTTAAAAATTTTCTTTACCTTTTCCTAAATCGAATAACAAGAAGAGGTAGGTGATGTGGGATAGAATTAATGGCTTTGTGGTAAATCCTACCGTAAGTTTCTTAATTAGAGAATTTTCGATAATCCACACCAACCATGGATGAAATTATTCTCGATACCTTTTAAGGCTTTGAGGAATTATTTTTTGGTTCTTTTTTTTGGAATTTTGTTATTGAATTTAACACCTTCGGTTTGGGTGATGAAGGTTAAAGATTTTGAAGTTTATTGAATATTAAATGATACAGTTTTGTGAGTTTTGGGGTGATTTAGTTATAAATATTGGATTTTGGATTAAAATTTGACAGGAATTGCAATATTTTATTTAATTTCATACAGTGTTGAAATGACAGACGTCTTCCATAGACAAAGACTACAGAATCTTTAAAAGATTTTATCTTTATGAAGAATTTATCTTCTACAGATTTCTGTCTGCATGCAGATTAAAAAAAGTGTCTACATGCAGAATCTGTCTTCCAAAGAATTCTATCTTCCACAGATTTCTGTCTACATGTAGATCAAAAAAAGTGTCTACACGCAGATTCTGTCTTCCACAGATTTCTGTCTACATGTAGAATAAAAAAAATAATATATAAAATAAATTGTGTGTATGTTACTGAAAATATCCATTTTTAGTGCATTTTTGAAACTTATTTCAAAAAGGTAACTTATTGATTGAGATAGAAGCAACCAGACATCGTAGGCTTTTACGTTTTCTCAGTTCTATCGTTTTATTGGCGTATCGAATACTTAATAAAAAGCGTAACTCAGTGTATTTATGCTATTATTAAGCATTTTTCTGACAACGACAAAATCTAAATGAAAAAACCCTTTTTATTAATTTTAAAAGCCCGTAAATGTTTGATCATTTTTTTTATAAAAGAGACTTGTCAGAGGAAGTGAAGAAGAATCCACATTAATTTGCAAAATTAATTTCGTTGTTTTATTTTGTATCCTAAATCTTTCTATGTGTTTTTCATTTAAAAATATTTATTAAATATCAAAATATAATAATCTGCATGCAGACAAACCCTGTGGAAGACAGAAATCTTTGGAAGACAGAATCTGCGTGTAGACACTTTTTTTGATCTACATGTAGACAGAAATCTGTGGAAGATAGAATTCTTCGGAAGACAGAATCTGCATGTAGACACTTTTTTTGATCTACATGCAGACAGAAATCTGTGGAAGACAGAATTCTTTGGAAGATAGATTCTTCATGTAGATACTTTTTTTAATCTACATGCAGACAGAAATCTGCAGAAGATAAATTCTTCATATAGAAAGTGTCTTTTTGCAGAAGTATAGGCAGATTTCAACACTGATTTCATATAGTTTTTTGGCACATTTTTCTTAGAAACGATGCGCTTAAAAATCCACTTCCTCTGGCTGGCTGGTTGCCTCAAATACTCGAAACTGGAAGTGCTTAGAACCTTCTAGTTTTTTTCATTCGATGGCTGTTATATGATAATGTGGGCATCCACAAATTTATTTTTCTTGATTCCTCTTAGTTTGTTAATGAAATTAACTTTTCTGTTTTTTGTTATGCACACAATTGATATTGGATTAAACAATGAATTAAAATTTTAAAAAACCGTTAATTTTTGAATCTTAAAAACTCGTTACATAATGTTTTTCATTTCCTGAAAGATTCAAGCTTTTTGTTCCATATATGACATATATCCAAATGGATCATGCTTTTAAGTTCCAAACATGGCTTAAATGGTACTGGATGTTGGTTTTTAATTCATTTTTACTGATCTATGCGAGTAAAGTGTGCTTAGTTCGTCCGTTAACATCTGTTACTAGGGATTTTATACTAGTTTAACTCAAAACCGACTTGCAAAAGACAGTAACGTATCCAAAGAATAGTGTTGATCATTCCTATCTTCATAAACCTTTTTGATACGCTCCTGAGTTTAGAAATGCAAATTAATTATTCCCATTTATTAAACAGCATAGCTTACAGGTTATAAATATTTAAAATTCCCATTTTATGAACAACAAAGTTTTATTATAAAATCTGCACCCCCAAAAAACATCAACCAGACGGCAAAATAATTTGAATAATGATATTCAAACGCTCTTAATTAAAGTCATTGAAATACTATCCAGCATCATATTGACCTATAAATAGCTTTAAAAATAATATTTCATCCTAATTTAAAATTCAATCCCACACCACCAAATTTTATCTTGCCCAAAATTAAAGCCGAGAAAAATGTCATCATTAATTTAATACCTTAATGTGTAACCAACCATCAGCATAATGACAATAAAATTTACATTATTTTGCTCATTTGCACTAAAATCTCATTACCTTATGTGCAATGCCTCATTAACTTCTAATGTGAATGTGATATTTCTCACTTTTAGAATTAAAATATTGCATATTCAGATAGACTTTGGTTAAATTGATTTACCTGCTGATTTAGATTTGGGTTTAATGGATATGCTCTTTATTGTTAAGGTCATTATGGGTGTCCATTGAGTTTTTTAGAGACTTTTTCATGCTTAATTTCATTCAATTGCTCTTAAACGGTTAAGATAGGTCGACTAGAAAATATATCAATTTTAATCTATGTCTATCTTGACCCCATGTTAAGGTAGACTACAATTATTCATGACATTTTGTTTCTCTTTTAGGATTTTAATAAGAAATTAAATTCGAGAAGCTTCTTTCAATCAAAAAAATTTCCATTACATTTTAGAAACCTTACAGACATTAATTGATGTAAATGAGAGAATAATAAAATTTCTTAAAAATACATTTTTTGATTGTTCGTGCAGCAGCTCGTGCAAGAGCAAATTTTCATAAACAAATATTTTGATTTTTGAGGTTCATTCTGTAGACGATAGCTGTGCTACCCACATTTGGTTGTACAAAAGATATTTTCAAGTACTTTTATATTTTGGTGAAGAATAGACAGGGAAGGAGGGGGGGGGGGGGGGGAGAGGTGCTTGATTGAATAATGGGAAAGGAGTCCAGTATTGGAGGCATTCATATCAAGTTGTGTTTTTGAATATTTTAGAAAAATTAAAACAAATTCCTTTAAAAGTTTTCTAGACACATTTATTTACAGACCCAAACCCACCAACAATTTACGATGCTCTCCAAAAGCTTCTCTGTTATTAAAACTTATTTTCCTCACAGTGGTCACTTGAAGCATTCTCTAAAGAAGTGGTTTGTTCCTTAATACTTTACAAGCTCTTGCCCTCCTCCTCCATTTCCTCTGAATGAAGTTTTTTTTGCTGTGTTGTGAGGTTCAGTAAAATATGACATCACAAAAGAAAAAGTTTCAAAAGCTTTGTTGCTCGTTTAATATACTTCGGAAGGGACTTTGAACATTTACAATTGGAATAATTGTTGTCGAAATAAAATGAGAAAGTTTATGACCATAAATTCGGTGCTGTTTTGGCACAATTGGGGATATTTATGGTGCAATGTTTCGTGGCAAGGTGGGAGAATATGGGAATTTTATTAAGGTGCCACAGAGGGAATTAAGTGGAATTTACACTGATTGGGAAAATTTGGTGACTGTGTCTTGAATGAATTGAGTATTTTGGTATTTTTAGATTGCTGAAGACTTAATAAAGTAAATTTTCTGTTGATGTAGCTATTGATAGGTTTGAAAAAGGCTGTGAATTAGTTTAAAATGTAAAGCCTCCTGAACCACCAAAACTCGAATAGGAAAGTATTTGAAATGACAAGACTTAATGTGAAGTCGCCTGAATTTCATAGCTCTAGTGTGAAGACTCCTGAACCACAAAACTCGAATATGAATGTATTTGAAATAGAAAAATCTAATGTGAAGTCGACTGAATTTCATAGCTCTAGTGTGAAGACTCCTGAACCACAAAACTTGAATGTGAAGGTATTTGAAAATAACAAGACTCAATGTGAAGTCGTCTGAATCTCATAGCTCTAGTGTGAAGACTTTTGAACCACCAAAACTCGAATGTGAAGGTATTTTAAATAACAAGACTTAATGTGAAGTCGCCTGAATCTCACAGCTTTAGTGTGAAGACTCCTGAACCATCAAAACTCGAATGTGAAGGTATTTTAAATAACAAGACTTAATGTGAAGTCTCCTGAATCTCATAGCATTAGTGTGAAGACACCTGAATCTAAAATCTCTGTAAAAAAGCACCTGCACATTAAATCACTGGTTTCTTGGCATCTTGACACAAATTATGTGAATTCACCCGAATAAAAATAACTCTAGTGTGAAGACACCTCGACATCAAAACTCTAGTGTGTATGAGCCTGAATTAAAAAACTATCATGTGAAGGTACCTGAGCCAAATAACACAATTATGAAGACATCTTAATATACAAACTCCAATAATATTCAACAATGTTTCCACACCTTGCACCAACATTTCCTATCCATGACATTATCCAAAAAAAAGAATTAATTTCATGCCAAAAAGTGCTTAAACACACATACAAGGAAGACAAAAACAGTCGCAAGAGCTTTTAATATCGACATATATGCACCATTTAATATCCATTTGTTCTTTTAATGAAAATTTAATGAGCATAAGAAGAGTAGCATGCCAAAAAGTAATAAAATTTGTTTTTCCTGCTATTTTCTTATTAAATTCTTTATCATTATGCTCTTTTCAAGCTTGTTATTATCATATCTTGTATTTGTTATTTAAACTGAAATGTTTGTTTTGGGGATTTATTCTTTATGTTTTAATTAAATAAGAGATTTAAATTTGTGAGATGATTTATTATTCATATTATGACTATTAAGTATTTGCCAGGTTGGAGGTCCCTAGTATCCAAATTTTCTAGCTTTAAGGAAGAAGCGTAGCCAATAATTCATTCCCAAATCAATATAAATGACTCAAAAAAACTTAATAATGTTAAATTATATAAGATTGATGGATTGATGTCTTTTGATAAAAAATTAACATTTTATGTCATGCTGCAGGAAGGGATAAAAGCAGCACCAACAAAGGTAAATGGATCAGAATAAAAATAAAAAAAGTTTCCGGAAACAGGATGAATAATGAAGAAGGAATGAATGGAAAAGGTTGAATAGAAAACAAATTTATAACACAAGAAGAAGTTGGAGAGAAACTCGGGAATACAAAACGCTAAGGGAAAGTCAAATTGATGATGAAAACATAAAGTAATAAAAGATAATCTGGGGAATAGTATGGATCAATTTTGAATTTTTATTTTCGGGAGGAATATGTTTGCTGTAGATTATCATGATTTTTATTTTTAACATTGTAGGTTGTGTGGATGGCTGGTTTAAGGGAAGAAGGGGTTGGGATATGGATTGTAAATTTTATGGTTTGTTGGGCAATTGGAAGAGTTATTGTTTGGCCTAGAGGGAGAATATGTACAAAAAATGTACCCTTAACGACATGTTGAACTCGACACTTTAAAATACTTGATTTATGATTCACAAATGGGAATACAGTAAGTAATAAGAAAAACATTTCGAAGTGTTTTTGAATCGAGTTTCTAGAAATTCTAATGTACTTTATGTGGATATGGGTTGAAGAGTATAAAAAGTAGATATGCCTGAGTAATGGGCTTGCGTTGAAACTGGTTGCACGTGTATGACGGATAGCCGAAGTGAGATAAGTACCTCGGTGGTCAAGTGGCAAGGATCTCTGATCGAGTGAGTCATTTGAGGTCGTGGGTTCGATTCCTAGCGAACCTCGACTTGTTTTACATTAATATACACATAAAGCAGTTATAGGGAGATACACTATACACTTGATGATATACTAGGACATACTAGTAGACGGAGCTATATCAGATAGCTACTACTAACCTAGGGCATCCTTACTTGGATAACCTTGATCACAGATAAAGCAGAGATCATATTTTAATTAGCATTAAGACATAAAAAATTAATGTGTAGATGCTTAAACAGTCAAATTTCAAAGCAATAAAGCTTCCAGACACCCAGAAAACTTTAAATCTTGTCCAAACGACTACATAAGCTGTCTTAGCCTAGCTCCAGATTTTAAATCAGCCAAACACCAACATTAAAGAACATTTTCTGCATTATTTAATCCTTTTTATGATCATTACTAAAATTCTCTTCCAAATTAGCCCTAATGATGATCAAAAATCAACAAAACACCAACAACTTGAGTTCCGTCAAACCCAATACTTCCTCACTTAACCATCTTCGTATCAAAATCTATCTCTTATCTCAAAATATATTTCACACTTAATATGACTTTTCACCTCTAATGACAGCATGAAACTTCTTCTGATTTAATAGATAGCTAGATAGCTGCTATACATAGTGAAATATGAGATAGACATAATGAAACTTTTTCACCCTTCCTATCTGCCATCGTTCTATTCTTCTTCAATTATGTATAGTGACATCGTGTCAGATTTCCGTTTTGTTTTTTTGATCTACAAAAATTAAATTTCATTCTAGCTTGTTGCAAGGAACATGATAAAATGGGAAAACAAGAGCATTTTACGGTGTTGAATTTCTATTGTTGATGTTATTCATTTTACAAAGAAGATACATGACGAGATGGAGTAGAATTTCGTGAGAGACAATTTTAAAATATCTTTTTTGGCATCATTTGAGTCACAATTATATTATTCTTGCAATTTTAATATTGAAGCATCACATTTAAATCGTTTCTCATTTTAATGGCAGCTGATGTGGATAGGGATGTGCATTTTAAGATATTATTAAGGTAGTTGAATGGGGTTGGGGTGTTGATGGTTAACCGAAGCTAAGGAAATTTCGAAACAAGGGTCATTCAAGCGTAGGAAGCAGAGGATTACCAAGGGTTCAGTCAGGTTTGGAACATTTGCTCAACTGACTTTTTTCCACTCTACATATGACCACTGACATATCCCCTGAGTTACCCCCGAGGATTATCTAAGGTTCAGACGCCCCCAGACTTAGAAAAACCACACAAAAATTCATATAAACTCATCCATCATAGCCCATCCATCAAAGCCCATCCCTTCATGTCCACTCGACTATCAACTGTAATAAAAAGCAAAGCAAAAGCACAAAATACCACAAAAATAAAGACATAGAAATTCTCGTCTACAATGAAATTGCTACGAAAAAAAAGGAATTCTAAAAAAAACGACACAGCTGGTAAATGTTTTATGTAAAATAGCTCTTCATGGTTGGCATGCACAAACTAACAGATCTTCTCATTCATACAATTTTCCATAAGAGCAATGCTAATGCAGAGCGTATTGAGCTATTGAGATGCAGTTGAAAAGTTTCATTCTGAGTCAGTTGAAGAGATTATTCATTAAAAAAATATGCAAACAGCCTGAATTTTATGTGCTGATCGTGGATTTTTGAATAATATTTGTTTTGTTTAGAGTATTCATGGGAAGTTTTGGTTGATGAATGGGAGACGAGATGGAATGTTGATGGAAGCTATGCTGTATTTCTGATATTGAAGTTATTTCTAGAAAAATAAAGTTTTTCATGAAGACAAGCAAGAGTAAAATAAAAATACAAGTTTTTGGACAAGAAGTCGGTTAGGGGCCGTTCACTTATAACGTACAGGGGGGGGGGGGGGGGGGGGTCAGCAAGAAAAGAACAATAGAAATTCCTTGAAATCTATTGTTCTTTTTTGAAAAATGACCGTTAATTTCGGACGTCATAAGTGAACGGCCCCTTAGTGCAAGATGCATTTTGAGAAAAAGAGGAAGCTTGATACGAAAAGTTTTGTCTAGAAGAATAAGAAGAAGATTATTCATGGAAAGACTTGATACTGAATTAATTCATTAAATGAAAATTTATGCGTTTTTGAATCTAGTCTTGCTGGTTTACAGCAGACAACAACAACAGTTTAGACAGTTTTCTTGGAAAAAAGGAATACTACTAAGTTTGTAGATTGCTCGGGTGTACCCTAAAGCTGTATTGTTCAAACTGTGTGCCTCGGCACACTGATGAGCCGTAGATTTTTTTGGAAATGTCACGAGACGCATGCTGTGTCCGATTTCGGTCATAGCTTACCATAATAGTGTTCCGTGGTTCAAAAAGTTTGAACAACACTGGCCTAAGGCCTCAGAACACTTCTCCTAACTTAAGAAAGTGACCTTAACTCTTCGACTACAATTGTACATTCAAACATCAAAAATTCACTCTTCTAACCAACTCTTTATCCTTACGTCCGCCTTGAATACACCGCTTACTGTATATGAGCAATTTTGCATACTATTAATAACATTATTCACGACTCCGTCTTTAAAAAACTCATCAAAAAATTAACTCTTCACAAATTTTTCAGTCCTGTAATGAGAAAAATTCATCCTCATGAGAAATGGCCATCCAGCAGTAAGCGAACATTAATAAATTATCTAGCAACATACTTTTCAAAATTAAATTTCCACAAAATGCATTTGCACTTTACTTCCTCATTCATTACAAGTTCTATGGATGCGAAACTATCTCAAGAGTCCCTCGGTTCCGTTAAAAAATAATATTTTAATGCATTCCTTCCACCATTTCCTTCTTGAGAATCTTCTCGACAATAGCAGATGATATTATGTGGATGTATGTTCGTGTGTATGCAAAGCACATTTATCTAACCTCGTTAAGAGCATTTAATGAAAAATTATGAATCGTTAAAATAGACATTAGTGCCAGTGAATTTTTTTCTTATCTCCATTTCCATTGTTATTCATTAAAAAGCTGCTGTATGAGCTTCTTCTTTTAACAAGGAAGAAAAAAAAATTAATTTTTTCCCTTTTTATTCTTGTTTCTTTTCCTCGTCGAGTAAGTTCCGCATATTTTCTGGTATTGCAATAAAAAAAATTCTCATTTCAAGCTGTGCTTCTAAGTGGATAGAATATTGCAGAATTTCTACATTCCCTCCTCCATCACGGCTCTAGCTGTTAAGCTCTGCTAAATGCCAACATTTATTCTGTTTCTACTTT